CTTAATTTTGTGGTGATTGTTACGTATACAAATACTACACTTTCATCTACACGATCAATATGACGGTCAGCTCTGATAGGAGACTGCTACTTAGGCAGTTGTATACTGATGTTATAGGTAAGGACACTCCTTGCTCAAGGACGTCGAATTGGACGTGTGTATGGGGAGAGTGGTTGTGGGGAAGAGTGTATGGGGAGAGTGGTTGTGGGGAAGTGTGTATGGGGAAAGTGGTTTTGGGGAAGAGTGTATGGGGAGAGTGGCTGTGGGTAAGAGTGTATGGGGAGAGTGGCTGGGTTGAAGAGTGTATGGGGAGAGTGGCTGTGGGTAAGAGTGTATGGGGAGAGTGGCTGTGTGGAAGAGTGTATGGGGAGAGTGGCTGTGGGTAAGAGTGTATGGGGAGAGTGGCTGTGTGGAAGAGTGTATGGGGAGAGTGGCTGTGGGTAAGAGTGTATGGGGAGAGTGGCTGGGTTGAAGAGTGTATGGGGAGAGTGGCTGTGGGGAGGTGTGTATGGGGAGAGTGGCTGTGGGGTAAGGGGGTGTGGGAGAGAGGGGCTGGGGGGAAGTGTGTATGGGGAGAGTGGTTTTGAGGAAGTGTGTATGGAGAGAGTGGTTGTGGGAAAGTGTGTATGGGGAAAGTGGTTTTGGGGAAGAGTGTATGGGGAGAGTGGCCGTGGGGAAGTGTGTATGATAGGTAAGGACACTCCTTGCTCAAGGACGTCGAATTGGAGGTGTGTATGGGGAGAGTGGTTGTGGGGATGTGTGTATGGGGAGAGTGGCTGTGGGGTAAGGGGGTGTGGGAGAGAGGGGCTGGGGGGAAGTGTGTATGGGGAGAGTGGTTGTGGGGATGTGTGTATGGGGAGAGTGGCTGTGGGGAAGTGTGTGTGGGGAGAGTGGCTGTGGGGAAGAGTGGATGGGGAGAGTGGTTGTGGGGAAGTGTTTATGGGGAGAGTGGCTGTGGGGAAGGGTTTATGGGGAGAGTGGCTGTGGGGAAGTGTGTGTGGGGAGAGTGGCTGTGGGGAAGAGTGTGTGAGGGAGAGTGGCTGTGGGGAAGTGTGTACGGGGAGAGTGGCTGTGGGGAAGTGTGTGTGGGGAGAGTGGCTGTGGGGAAGAGTGTGTGAGGGAGAGGGTTTGTGGGGAAGTGTGTATGGGGAAAGTGGCCGTGGGGAAGAGTGTATGAGGGAGAGTGGTTGTGGGGAAGAGTGTATGGGGGAGAGTGTTTGTGGGGAAGAGTGTATGGGGAGAGTGGCCGTGGGGAAGTGTGTATGATAGGTAAGGACACTCCTTGCTCAAGGACGTCGAATTGGACGTGTGTATGGGGAGAGTGGTTGTGGGGACGAGTGTATGTGTATGGGGAGAGTGGCTGTGGGGTAAGAGGGTGTGAGAGAGAGTGGCTGTGGAGAAGTGTGTATGGGGGAGAGTGTTTGTGGGGAAGAGTGTATGGGGAGAGTAGCCGTGGGGAAGTGTGTATGGGGAGAGTGACTGTGGGGAAGTGTGTACGGGGAGAGTGGTTTTGGGGAAGTGTGTATGGAGAGAGTGGCTGTGGGGAAGTGTGTATTGGGAGAGTGTCTGTGGGGAAGTGTTTATGGGGAGAGTGGCTGTGGGGAAGTGTGTGTGGGGAGAGTGGCTGTGGGGAAGTGTGTGTGGGGAGAGTGGCTGTGGGGAAGAGTGGATGGGGAGAGTGGTTGTGGGGAAGTGTGTATGGAGAGAGTGATTGTTGGGAAGTGTGTATGGGGAGAGTGGTTGTGGGGACGAGTGTATGTGTATGGGGAGAGTGGCTGTGGGGTAAGAGTGTGTGAGGGAGAGTGGCTGTGGGGAAGTGTGTACGGGGAGAGTGGTTTTGGGGAAGTGTGTATGGGGAAAGTGGTTTTGGGGAAGTGTGTATGGAGAAAGTGGCTGTGGGGAAGCGTGTATGGGGAGAGTGGCTGTGGGGAAGGGTTTATGGGGAGAGTGGCTGTGGGGAAGGGTTTATGGGGAGAGTGGCTGTGGGGAAGTGTTTATGGGGAGAGTGGCTGGGGGGAAGAGTGTAGGGGAAGAGTGGCTGTGGGGAAGTGTGTATGGGGAGAGGGTCTGTGGGGAAGTGTTTATGGGGAGAGTGGCTGTGGGGAAGAGAGTATGGGGAGAGTGGTTGTAGGGAAGTGTGTATGGGGAGAGCGGCTGTGGGGAAGAGTGTGTGAGGGAGAGTGTTTGTGGGGAAGTGTGTATGGGGGAAGTGGCCGTGGGGAAGTGTGTATGGGGGAGAGTGGTTGTGGGGACGAGTGTATGTGTATGGGGAGAGTGGCTGTGGGGTAAGAGGGTGTGAGAGAGAGGGGCTGTGGGGAAGGGTGTATGGAGAGAGTGATTGTGGGGAAGTGTGTATGGGGAAAGTGGTTTTGGGGAAGTGTGTATGGGGAAAGTGGTTTTGGGGAAGTGTGTATGGGGAAAGTGGTTTTGGGGAAGAGTGTATGGGGAGAGTGGCTGTGGGTAAGAGTGTATGGGGAGAGTGGCTGTGTGGAAGAGTGTATGGGGAGAGTGGCTGTGGGAAAGGTTGTATGGGGAGAGTGTCCGTGGGGAAGTGTGTATGGGGAGAGTGGTTGGGGGGAAGTGTGTATGGGGAGAGTGGTTTGGGGGAAGTGTGTATGGAGAGAGTGGTTTTGGGGAAGTGTGTATGGGGAAAGTGGTTTTGGGGAAGAGTGTATGGGGAGAGTGGCTGTGGGTAAGAGTGTATGGGGAGAGTGGCTGGGTTGAAGAGTGTATGGGGAGAGTGGCTGTGGGTAAGAGTGTATGGGGAGAGTGGCTGTGTGGAAGAGTGTATGGGGAGAGTGGCTGTGGGTAAGAGTGTATGGGGAGAGTGGCTGTGTGGAAGAGTGTATGGGGAGAGTGGCTGTGGGTAAGAGTGTATGGGGAGAGTGGCTGGGTTGAAGAGTGTATGGGGAGAGTGGCTGTGGGTAAGAGTGTATGGGGAGAGTGGCTGGGTTGAAGAGTGTATGGGGAGAGTGGCTGTGGGTAAGAGTGTATGGGGAGAGTGGCTGTGTGGAAGAGTGTATGGGGAGAGTGGCTGTGGGTAAGAGTGTATGGGGAGAGTGGCTGGGTTGAAGAGTGTATGGGGAGAGTGGCTGTGGGTAAGAGTGTATGGGGAGAGTGGCTGGGTTGAAGAGTGTATGGGGAGAGTGGCTGTGGGTAAGAGTGTATGGGGAGAGTGGCTGTGTGGAAGAGTGTATGGGGAGAGTGGCTGTGGGTAAGAGTGTATGGGGAGAGTGGCTGGGTTGAAGAGTGTATGGGGAGAGTGGCTGTGGGAAAGGTTGTATGGGGAGAGTGTCCGTGGGGAAGTGTGTATGGGGAGAGTGGCTTTGGGGAAGTGTGTATGGGGAGAGTGGTTGTGGGAAAGTGTGTATGGGGAAAGTGGTTTTGGGGAAGTGTGTATGGAGAAAGTGGCTGTGGGGAAGCGTGTATGGGGAGAGTGGCTGTGGGGAAGCGTGTATGGGGAGAGTGGCTGTGGGGAAGCGTGTATGGGGAGAGTGGCTGTGGGGAAGTGGGTATGGGGAGAGTGGCTGTGGGGAAGAGAGTATGGGGAGAGTGGTTGTAGGGAAGTGTGGATGGGGAGAGTGGCTGTGGGGAAGAGTGGATGGGGAGAGTGGTTGTGGGGAAGTGTTTATGGGGAGAGTGGCTGGGGGGAAGAGTGTAGGGGAAGAGTGGCTGTGGGGAAGTGTGTATGGGGAGAGTGGCTGTGGGGTAAGAGTGTGTGAGAGAGAGTGGCTGTGGGGAAGTGTGTATGGGGAGAGTGTCTGTGGGGAAGTGTTTATGGGGAGAGTGGCTGTGGGGAAGAGTGTGTGAGGGAGAGTGGCTGTGGGGAAGTGTGTATTGGGAGAGTGGCTGTGGGGAAGAGTGTATGGGGGAGATTGGCTGTCGGGAAGTGTGTATGGGGAGAGTGGCTGTGAGGAAGTGTGTATGGGGAGAGTGGCTGTGGGGAAGTGTGTATGGGGAGAGTGGTTGTGGAGAAGTGTGTATGGGGAGAGTGGCTGTGGGGAAGTGTGTATGGGGAGAGTGGCTGTGGGGAAGTGTGTATGGGGAGAGTGGTTGTGGAGAAGTGTGTATGGGGAGAGTGGCTGTGGGGAAGTGTGTATGGGGAGAGTAGCTGTGGAGAAGAGTGTATGGGGAGAGTGGTTGTGGGGAAGTGTGTATGGGGAGAGTGGCTGTGGGGAAGTGTGTATCTGGAGAGTGGTTGTGGAGAAGTGTGTATGGGGAGAGTGGCTGTGGGGAAGTGTGTATGGGGAGAGTGGCTGTGGGGAAGTGTGTATGGGGAGAGTAGCTGTGGGGAAGTGTGTATGGGGAGAGTGGCTGGGGGGAAGTGTGTATGGGGAGAGTGGCTGTGGGGAAGTTTGTATGGGGAGAGTGGCTGTGGGGAAGTGTGTATCGGGAGAGTGGTTGTGGGGAAGTGTGTATGGGGAGAGTAGCTGTGGAGAAGAGTGTATGGGGAGAGTGGCTGTGGGGAAGAGTGTATGGGGGGAGTGGCTGTGGGGAAGAGTGTATGGGGAGAGTGGTTGTGGGGAAGTGTGTATGTGGAGAGTGGCTGTGGGGAAGAATGTATGGGGAGAGTGGCTGTGGAGAAGAGTGTATGGGGTGAGTGGCTGTGGAGAAGAGTGTATGGGGAGAGTGGCTGTGGGGAAGAGTGTATGGGGGAGAGTGGCTGTGGGGAAGAGTGTATGGGAAGAGTGGCTGTGGGGAAGGGTGTATGGGGAGAGTGGCTGTGGGGAAGAATGTGTGAGAGAGAGTGGCTGTGGAGAAGTGTGTATGGGGGAGAGTGTTTGTGGGGAAGAGTGTATGGGGGAGAGTGTTTGTGGGGGAAAGTGTATGAGGGAGATTGGTTGTGGGGAAGAGTGTTTGGGGGAGAGTGGTTGTTGGGAAGAGTGTGTGAGAGAAAGTGGCTGTGGGGAAGAGTGTATTGGGGGAGTGTCTGTGGGGAAGAGTGTGTGAGAGAGAGTGGCTGTGGAGAAGTGGGGATGGGGGAGAGTGTTTGTGGGGACGAGTGTATGAGGGATAGTGGCTGTGGGGAAAAGTGTGTGAGAGAGAGTGGCTGTGGGGAAGAGTGTATGGAGAGAGTGGCTGTGGGGAAGAGTGTATGGGGAAGAGTGGCTGTGGGGAAGAGTGTATGGGAGAGTGGCTGTGGGGAAGAGTGTGTGAGAGAGAGTGGCTGTGGAGAAGTGTGTATGGGGGAGAGAGTTTGTGGGGGAAAGTGTATGAGGGAGAGTGGTTGGGGGGAAGAGTGTTTGGGGGAGAGTGGTTGTGGGGAAGAGTGTGTGAGAGAAAGAAGAATGTATGGGGAGAGTGGCTGTGGAGAAGTGTGTATGGGGGAGAGTGTTTGTGGGGGAAAGTGTATGGGGGAGAGTGGTTGTGGGGAAGAGTGTATGGGGGAGAGTGGCTGTGGGGAAGTGTGTATGGGGGAGAGTGTTTGTGGGGAAGAGTGTATGAAGGATAGTGGTTGTGGGGAAGAGTGTATGGGGGAGAGTGGCTGTGGAGAAGTGTGTATGGGGGAGAGTGTTTGTGGGGGAAAGTGTATGAGGGAGAGGGGTTGTGGGGAAGAGTGTTTGGGGGAGAGTGGTTGTGGGGAAGAGTGTGTGAGAGAAAGAAGAATGTATGGGGAGAGTGGCTGTGGAGAAGAGTGTATGGGGGGAGTGGCTGTGGGGAAGAGTGTATGGGGGAGAGTGGCTGTGGAGAAGTGTGTATGGGGAGAGTGGCTGTGGAGAAGAGTGTATGGGGGGAGTGGCTGTGGGGAAGAGTGTATGGGGGAGAGTGTTTGTGGGGAAGAGTGTGTGAGGGAGAGTGGCTGTGGGGAAGAGTGTATGGGGGGAGTGGCCGTGGGGAAGGGTGTATGGGGGAGAGTGGTTGTGGGGAAGAGTGTGTGAGAGAAAGAAGAATGTATGGGGAGAGTGGCTGTGGAGAAGAGTGTATGGGGTGGGTGGCTGTGGAGAAGAGTGTATGGGGAGAGTGGCTGTGGGGAAGTGTGTATGGGGGAGAGTGTTTGTGGGGAAGAGTGTATGAAGGAGAGTGGTTGTGGGGAAGAGTGTATGGGGGAGTGTGTCTGTGGGGAAGAGTGTGTGAGAGAGAGTGGCTGGGGAGAAGTGTGTATGGGGGAGAGTGTTTGTGGGGGAAAGTGTATGAGGGGAGAGTGGTTGTGGGGAAGTGTGTATGTGGAGAGTGGCTGTGGGGAAGAGTGTATGGGGAGAGGGGCCGTGGGGAAGGGTGTATGGGGAGAGTGGCTGTGGGGAAGAATGTATGGGGAGAGTGGCTGTGGAGAAGTGTGTATGGGGGAGAGTGTTTGTGGGGGAAAGTGTATGAGGGAGAGTGGTTGTGGGGAAGAGTGTTTGGGGGAGAGTGGTTGTGGGGAAGAGTGTGTGAGAGAAAGTGGCTGTGGGGAAGAGTGTATTGGGGGAGTGTCTGTGGGGAAGAGTGTGTGAGAGAGAGTTGTTGTGGGGAAGAGTGTATGGGGGAGAGTCGTTGTGGGGAAGAGGGTATGAGAGAGAGTGGCTGTGGGGAAGAGTGTATGGGGGGGAGGGTTTGTGGGGAAGAGTGTATGGGGAGAGTGTCTGTGGGGAAGAGTGTGTGAGATAGAGTGGCCGTGGGGAAGTGTGTATGGGGGAGAGGGGTTGTGGGGAAGAGTGTATGGGGGAGAGTGTCTGTGGGGAAGAGTGTGTGAGAGAGAGTGGTTGTGGGGAAGAGTGTATGGGGGAGAGTCGTTGTGGGGAAGAGTGTATGAGAGAGAGTGGCTGTGGGGAAGAGTGTATGGGGGAGAGTGTTCGTGGGGAAGAGTGTATGGGGAGAGTGGCTGTTGGTAAAAGTGTATGGGGAGAGTGGCTGTGTTGAAGAGTGTATGGGGAGAGTGGCTGTGGGGAAGAGTGTATGGGGGAGAGTGTTTGTGGGGAAGAGGGTATGGGGAGAGTGGCCGTGGGGAAGTGTGTATGGGGAGAGTGGCTGTGGGGAAGGGTGTATGGGAGAGAGTGTCTGTGGGGAAGAGTGTGTGAGAGAGAGTGGCTGTGGGGAAGGGTGTATGGGAGAGAGTGTCTGTGGGGAAGAGTGTGTGAGAGGGAGTGGCTGGGGGGAAGAGTGTATGGGGGAGAGTGGTTGTGGGGAAGAGTGTGTGAGACAGAGTGGCTGTGGGGCTGAGTGTATGGGGGAGAGTGTTTGTGGGGAAGAGTGTATGAGGGAGAGTGGTTGTGGGGAAGAGTGTGTGAGAGAGAGTGGCTGTGGAGAAGAGTGTATGGGGGAGAGTGTTTTTGGGGAAGAGTGTATGGGGAGAGTGGCTGTGGGGAAGAGTGTATGGGGAGAGTGGTTGTGGGGAAGAGTGTATGGGGGAGAGTGGTTGTGGGGAAGAGTGTATGGGGGAGAGGGGTTGTGGGGAAGAGTGTGTGAGAGAGAGTGGCTGTGGAGAAGTGTGTATGGGGGAGAGTGTTTGTGGGGAAGAGTGTAGGGGGAGAGTGTCTGTGGGGAAGAGTGTATGGGGAGAGTGGTTGTGGGGAAGTGTGTATGGGGCGAGTGGCCGGGGGGAAGAGCGGATGGGGAGGGTGGCTGTGGGGAAGAGTGTATGGGGAGAGTGGTTGTGGGGAAGTGTGTATGGGGACAGTGGCTGTGGGGAAGAGTGTATAGGGAGAGTGGTTGTGGGGAAGTGTGTATGGGGGGAGGGGCTGTGGGGAAGTGTGTATGGGGAGAGTGGCTGTGGAAAAGTGTGTATGGGGAGAGTGGCTGGCTGTGGGGAAGAGTGTATGGGGGAGAGTGCTTGTGGGGAAGAGTGTATGGGGGAGAGTGGTTGTGGGGAAGAGTGTATGGGGGACAGTGGCTGTGGAGAAGTGTGTATGGGGGAGAGTGTTTGTGGGGAAGAGTGTAGGGGGAGAGTGGCTGTGGGGAAGAGTGTATAGGGAGAGTGGTTGTGGGGAAGTGTGTATGGGGAGAGTGGTTGTGGGGAAGTGTGTATGGGGACAGTGGCTGTGGGGAAGAGTGTATAGGGAGAGTGGTTGTGGGGAAGTGTGTATGGGGCGAGTGGCCGGGGGGAAGAGCGGATGGGGAGGGTGGCTGTGGGGAAGAGTGTATGGGGAGAGTGGCGGTGGGGAAGAGTGTATGGGGGAGAGTGGTTGTGGGGAAGAGTGTATGGGGGAGAGTGGTTGTGGGGAAGAGTGTGTGAGAGAGAGTGGCTGGGGGGAAGAGTGTATGGGGAGAGTGGCTGTCGGGAAGTGTGTATGGGAAGAGTGACTGTGGGGAAGAGGGTATGGGTAGAGTGGCTGTGGGGAAGAGTGGATGGGGGATAGTGGCTGTGGGGAAGAGTGTATGGGGGAGAGTAGTTGTGGGGAAGAGTGTGTGAGGGAGAGTGGCTGTGGGGAAGAGTGTATGGGGAGAGTGGTTGTGGGGAAGTGTGTATGGGGAGAGTGGCCGGGGGGAAGAGTGTATGGGGAGAGTGGCTGTGGGGAAGGGTGTATGGGGGAGAGTGGCTGTGGGGAAGTGTGTATGGGGAGGGGGGTTGTGGGGAAGAGTGTATGGGGAGAGGGGCTATGGGGAGGTGTGTATGGGGAGAGTGTGAGAGAGAGTGGTTGTGGGGAAGAGTGTATGGGGGACAGTGGCTGTGGAGAAGTGTGTATGGGGGAGAGTGTTTGTGGGGAAGAGTGTAGGGGGAGAGTGTCTGTGGGGAAGAGTGTATGGGGAGAGTGGCGGTGGGGAAGAGTGTATGGGGGAGAGTGGTTGTGGGGAAGAGTGTGTGAGACAGAGTGGCTGTGGGGAAGAGTGTATGGGGAGAGTGGCTATGGGGAGGTGTGTATGGGGAGAGTGGCTGTGGGGAAGAGTGTATGGGTAGAGTGGCTGTGGAGAAGAGTGTATGGGGGAGAGTGGCTGTGGGGAAGAGTGTGTGAGAGAGAGTGGTTGAGATGGAAATATTTGGTGTTGAGCAGGAGGTGCACTTTAGTCCGTGTATAGCAAAAGAAAACAGTGTTTTAAGTAAAATATCATTGTGGGATACGTATGACACTTTCACAAACTATTTATCATTATATAACCAATAGCTATGCCAAGTTGCATGCTTATCCCAAAATGCCTTTTATGTACAATCAGCGCATAAACATTAAAAATAGGCACAACATTTGATAAAATAATGAAACGGGTTAACTTAACGATTAAAACAGATACTTTCCTCGAAGCTAGGAGACTTAAAGTTACCAGCAAATTAAATGCCATTTTTTCTTTGTAAGCAGACTTGTAACTCGACTTTTCACATGATCTATATACTAGTGGACGACTCAACCGACCTTGACAACGTTTCGATGGAGAAAAATGAACAGGAACAAACTCAAAGTAGTAGTGTAACCATTTTAATATTATTCAACAAAATTAAATATTTTTCTTCTGGTTTCTATTTCCATTTGTGTACAGAAATGACTGGAAATAAACCTTATTAATGCATCTGATATGCTTTTAACATCTTAAAACAGATATGAGATATTTAAAACTGTATAAGCATTTAGTACCATTCTAGGTTCATGCCCGTACTAAGGTGGTACGTGAATGCTAATTCCGCTTAAATGAGGAGGGCTACGTACTATAATCGGAGATTTATTTGTGAGCATATCGAATATGGAATAAATAATACAAATAAAGGAAATCAATGAACGTTATCCTTTTGTTCGATTGTTTTTATACCTTGTAATTGCTGCTTAATACAAATTAAAAATAAATTTAATCGGCAACACTTCAATAATTTACAGTTAAGACAAAAAGAAAGTTTCTTGTCTGTTTAAGAGGGTCATATAAAATGTACCGGTACATCCGGTGATAGCCGGTCAATTTTCATAAAGACATTTTATAAACAATTTCTTTAAAAATTAAAATAAATCTGTTTCTATCTTTAGAAACAATGTGTATTGTATTAGTTTTACATTGTACGGTTACTAAACACTGACAATATTTAATTCTCCACAGAATATTCAAGTTATCGTTAGAAACCTGTATAATAACAATGGTTAGCTATAACGGACTGTTCTCCCTATTATCATCTTAATACCAGTGACGTATTCTAGACAAACTTCTTGGGTGAGAGTGAGGTCGAACCTACTTATACTTATCAACAGACAGTTCTCATTGATAGCAGCGAAAATAAAGTTAGTCATGTAGGGAAATCCTACCACCGTTAAGACCATCTTCGCTGTTTATTTGCCACTGGTGGGTTGCTAGTTGATATTTGATATGCCTTTAGACAGGCGATTTACGAGTATTATGTGATTGTTTATGGTTCCAGATATACAGAGTTTACATATAATCAGCAGTAAATCACCGGTGTAGAATCAGTTTCATTAATGTCATATTTTGAGATCTTCTGGTGTACGGTCCCAAGTGTGGTTTACGCTACCTGAAACAGCAAAAATCATGGCTGATGGTAATATGAATTATCTGAAGTTGTTATAAACTTTAACTTGTTAAAATAATACATTTGTAATGTTTCATGTTATTATTCAATAGGCATATTATATATCACCAAGATTTCATAACTATTGTGACAAAAAACAAATTGCACATTTTCATCAAAGTTTAAATGATCAAGATATCCAAGATATCTGTAGGAAACATTCCAACCTACAATCAACATTACCAGGTGAATGTACGTACTTGTTACAACACTATCTATTTACCGACACACTGTCTGTACGTACCTGTTCAAACACTATCGATTTACCGACACACTGTCTGTACGTACCTGTTACAACACTATCTATTTCCCGACACACTGTCTGTACGTACCTGTAACAACACTATCTATTTACCGACCCACTGTCTGTACGTACCTGTTAAAACACTATCGATTTACCGACACACTGTCTGTACGTCCCTGTTACAACACAATCTGTAGGACGACACACTGTCTGTACGTACCGGTTACAACACTATCTATTGACTGACACACTGTCTGTACGTACCTGTTACAACACAATCTGTAGGACGACACACTGTCTGTACGTACCTGTTACAACACAATCTGTAGGTCGAAACACTGTCTGTACGTACCTGTTACAACATAATCTATTGACCGACACTCTGTCTGTACGTACCTGTTACAACATAATCTGTAGGACGACACACCGTCTGTACGTACCTGTTACAACATAATCTGTAGGACGACACACCGTCTGTACGTACCTGTTACAACATAATCTGTAGG